CTTTTGGAGGATTTTTTTTGTTTCATAATGCTTTGTCTGGCATTTTAAAATGTTTTAACCTACAGGTGTTTTGCTTATATACTATGGTTTCTGATTCTGTGTCTTTATGGGATTTCTCTATAAATGGATGTATGTCTCTGTGTCTATTTATATGTTTCTTGTGCTTTTTTTTCCTTTGGCTTCTTTTAAAAATCTGTCCATTTGCTTATTTTGTCCTTTCAGGTTTGTTTTTATTTTGTACTATCATCATAATATTTGCTTATTTATTTTTGTATGCCTGCTTGTTTTCTAATAAGAAAGAACAAGAAAGGGTATGGATTTGAGTGGGTGGGAAGGTGGGCAGGATCTGGGAGGAGTTATGGGAGGGGAAACCTAGTCAGAATATATTATAAGAAAAAAAAGTCTATTTTCAATAAGAAGAGAAAGAAACTAACAATGGTGTTTGATACCCAGTAAATAACTGTGTGTTTGCATCTCATATAAATATTTATGAATATATTATAACCAATTGGAGTGGGCTTCCTGTTTTCTTGCCAACCCTTAGCATTTTCTAGGTACTCTCTTATAGATAGCCAGAAAGCCAACAAATTGTAGTTCTTATCACTACTAATTTTTAGCAGTTTTAACGTGGCAAATTTTACATAGGCTTATCAGCAGTGATTTGGGGGGACTTCCTGGCCAATATTAACTTGGCTGTAATTAAAGAGATAATAGAAGTTTTTCCAAATTATCAAGAGGGTTCAAAATTCCCTTGTGAGTCAGCCAAGCCTCAACCAGAAAACACAGCAAAACAAAAGATAATTACAGACTATGTCAGTCTCTCGCCTTCCATTTTCTTTGCTCACTATTGACATTTTCAAAGTGCATTAGTATTAAATATTCATAAAACACAATCTGGTTTCATTAATCTGAAAAAGTATGACCCTGACTGAGAAATGATCTGCAAGGTTAGCATTTTGAAAGTGAAGACATCTGTTGACCAGTAATAATTCTGAATGGATATTGTCTTAGTTTGAGTTTTTATTGCTATGAAGAAACATTATGACCACGGCAACACTTATAAAGAAAACATTTAATTGGGATGGCTCACTTACAGTTCAGAGGTTCAGTTCATTATCATCATGTCGGGGAGCATGGCAGCATGCAGACAGATGTAGTGCTGTAGTAGCTGAGAGATGTACATCTTGCAGGCAAGAGGAATTTGACTGAGACACTGGGTAGTATTTTGAGCATAAGAAACCTTAAAGTTCGCCCCAAGAGTGACACACTTCTTCCAACAAGGCCATATCCACTCCAACAAAGGCACACCTCCTAATAGTGCCACTCCCTATGAAATTATGGGGGCCAATTACATACAACCTACCACAGATATACAGCAAAATTAAAAGTTGATATTTTTTATTTTGGTTTACGTGAATTAGCATGATCTGTGTCTGGGCATTGTTATCCCTCTTTTCTATCAAATGACTAGTCAGCTTCCTACACTCTGTAACACAGTTTACGTAGCAGCATCACTACAGCAATGCTTTCAAAGGTTAGGGTTAAGCTTACGTTAAACAAGGGCTGTACAATGGTCTGTACATACAAGAGCTATACAACGATCCAATCAGATAATTCCTAGTTATATTATTTTAGGTTTATACTGTTTATTTCAAATCACAAACTCACCAAGAGAATCAAATTTAAAAAAATAAATTAGAGGCCCATCACGACAGTTAAAATATCATATATTATCTGGTGGTTCTGTGTGAAATTTAGAATTCTTAAACACTTTCCTCAGCAGTTGTGGAAAGAAATAATCTCGATTGTCGAGGTTTTTTTGGCCATTCCTCTTGGAAAGTACTTTTGATACTAGAGTTAGCTCTACTGAAGATAATCCGCATAGAGCCTTTTGGGAATGTTCCTGCATGCCACGTTGTACAGACTGCCTCCTATTCCCCTACTGCACTGCGTGTCAACATTGATGCGGTTTATAGCTTACTACATCTATAGAGAACTTTAAGAAAAATGCAGTGGTGATAATAACTTCAATCTTCTGCGTATCTACAAGAGGGCACCTAGAAATGCTAAGTGTTGGAGTGCTACAATTGCTTATGGCTAACAAAAATATTTCTTTTTGTTCCTTTTTAGTACAAAAAGAAATAATCTTTGCTATTATTAGTAGGAAAATAATAAACAATGCTAAAGTATACACTGAATAGTCTCTTGGGAGTTGTGTTAAGGTGCTGAGATGCATGTCTTTATGGTAGGCCATGTTTTCAAAGCACTGGGAAAACAGCTGTGGGGTCATAGAGCTGTTGAGTCATTACTCTGATAGGTGGAAGGGATTGTTAGGACAGGACCCAGATAAATAACAGAGAAGGGCATGGGGTGAGGAGAGGGCATTTCAAAGCAAGGACAATGAAACGTATTGTCCAAACACCTTACAGCAAGTGCACATTTGGTTTTTACATGGTGTGTCAGGCCAGTCAATGACTGACGAGAAAATGGGGACAGAAACAGCCTGGAAGTCCATTATCTATGTCAGCAAGGCGACAGCTCGGGCAGCCCTGCTGGACCAGAAACTGCTTTCACAGATTACACCTCTCTTACCCTGCTACTTTCCCCAGCCAGGTAAGAGAATCGCATAATGGGTAATTTTAGCTAGCTACATTCCCGGTACACAGTGACCTGCCGTTCTTTGTATATGGTATGTCCCTTTGATATTCATTCTCTCGAGTTCACATTGCCTTTTCCAGCAATGGAGATGAATAAAAAAGCTTTCTGCTGAGCAGGATGCAGAGAGGACAAACACACAGCATGCAGGTCAAGGACCATGTTACAGGAAAAAGAAATCATGTCTGTATAGACGACTTTACTCCTATTCTCTGCAACACAATGCTTTCCCAGATACCCTATAAAAACATACAATGATAAGCCAACTTGAAATAGGAAATCGTTTGGACAACAAAAGCTTCCTTTTCAGAGAGATACTTAAGGCAGAGAGCAGAAGGTGGACTTGAATCTCTAACTGAAAACTAAAAGCACTCTGCTTTCTTTAAGGTTAAGTTGAATGTTAAATACTTAAAGCTAGAGTCTATCAATCATTGAACTAAAACTCCACAAAACTGGATGGACTAGGAGCATAAAAAACTAGCCCAGCATGTGAATGGTAACTGCAAAGTAAGAGACTCCTGGGAAGAAAGCTCAAAACTCTCGAGTTACAGTATCCTTTGGCCTCTAAGCCAGAAGTCTTTACATGCAGTTGGTACCTGATGTAAGCAGTATTTGATGTTTTTCTACCAACTCTTTACTGCAAGGGAGGCTGAAAGGAAAAAGAAACCTTTTCCTCACTTTCTAAATTGTTATGGAATAGAATGTAACAGCAGAAGCAAAACCAGATGGTTTATAGAACTGAGTTTTATTTGGGAGGAGTTGGAGGAAGGGGTGACATGGCCAAAGAAATTAATACGATGATGATGATGATGATGTGATGGTGATGGTGATGATGATATTAAATGTGGAGGGAAAGAGAAAAGTATGAAGGGGGATGCTGCAGTGGGATGGATATGGAAGGAGTTAGGAGGAGGAGTGGGGAGGTGAATATGATTTAAAGATATTGCATGGGATTCTCAAATTAATAAAATGATATATTTTAAGAAAAGAACAGTAGAGATATTTCACACTATAGTTTCTTTAAGACTCAACCCCCAATCATAGAATTAAAGAAATACATAGTGAGAATACGGTTTGTAGTCAGTCCACCTCGGTACCTCTGCTGAGTTGCTCGGTTGAGATGGGAGCAAGCACAGCCCTCATGACTGATTGCAGAGGGAGGACCAGGGCGATGTAAGAAAGACACTGGGTACAAACTTCAAGGCATGGACACAGTATAAGAGCAAATACTTCCTTAACATTGATGGTCTTCTTTCCTCTCCTTAGTCCTAGTTTCCAGTCAGCTACTTGAGAAAAACAGCAAAAGGTAGCAACCCCCCAAACCAAAAAAAATCCCCAACAAACCAAACCCAAACGAGCATATAACGCTGAAGGAAGACGGCAGGGTAAGAGTCACAGTGGGTAAAGACGAGCAAGAGAAAGGAGCATGCCTAGGCTCATAACAGTGCCACCCCATCCAGTCAACCACTGGGCGTTTCTTGCTAAAGTCACACAAAGGTCAGTTCATAAACCTTGCCAGTCATGTCTTCATGTCCCCAAGATGTCCCAATACCACCAGTTAAGTGGGCTTTGCTCTCACCCACTGTCTTAGTTAGGACTACTATTGCTATGACAAAACACCATGACCAAAGCAAGGAAAGGGTTTATTTGGCATATGGAGGAGGGAAGGGTTTATTTGGCTTATGGGGGATGGGAGGATTTATTTGGCTCACTCTTCTACATCATAGTTCATTATCAAAGTAAGTCAGAACAGGAACTCAAATACAGTAGGAACCTAGAGGCAAGAGCTGATGTAGAGGCCATGGAGGGGTATTGCTTACTGGCTTACTCATCATGGCTTGCTCAGCCTGTTTTCTTATAGAATCCAGGACCACCAGCCCAAGGATGGCACCACCCACAATCGGCTGGACCTGCCCCCATAATCAATAATTAAGAAAATGCCTTACAGTTGGATCTTACAGAGGCATTTTTCTCAATTGAGGTTCCCTCCTTTCAGACGACTCTAGCTTGTGTCAAGTTGACATAAAACTAGCCAGCACACCTACTTATTTCAAGCAGCCTCTTCTAAGGTTCCTCGTTAGTTTAATGAGCCACAACTGTTTTTTTTTTTCTCCATGTTCCTTCTAGGGGAAATCTGCCTAGCTTAGAATCAAGAAGACTTGGGACATTTCTTTGTTACACTGTCTAAATGTTCTTTCTCAATTGGAGAGTATTTTCTAGAGTAACCTAGAAGATAGTCAGTGTCCAAAGAGCCACTAGCCAGCCAATCATATTATCCAGTGATAATTTATTTACATTTAGTTCCTTCCGGAAACTTCAATAAACCATTTAGAATATAAACTTACGTTAAAGCTTCAGAGTAATTATAATGAGGCGAGACTCCTAGAAACTTCTGGACTTCATCCATCACTGTTGCTGGGTCAGTTCTTAGCTGCTGCCCATCGATAATGAGCAACTAAATCACCAAAGTAATAATAAGGGGAAAAAAGACACAGATGTTGAAAAAACATGTGGCAACTGTATAATAACAAAATTCTTATACTTATTCTGGCACCACCCTTGGGGATATGCACACACTATTTGGAGCTGCTAATCAAGTCATTTTTCATTAATGACTTATAAATAAGTCATGCTAATTAAGTATTCTGATATTATCTGAGAGTGAGGGAAATGATATGAAAACAGTAATAAACAGTAATGGGGAGAAAGTGGGCTTAGGAATGTGACTGTGAGACCACAATACAAGGGTGGCATCACTCATGCTGGCACAGAACACTGCAGGGTAGAAGAAAGATTTCAGTTAAGTCAGAAAGTTGGTTCATACCTCAAATCCTAGACTCAAGAGACCAAGTCAGGAAGATCGTGAGTTTAAGGCCAGGAAGTGTGAGATTCTGTGCCTAAAGCAGCAGTCACCATCACCTCCTTGCTCTGGCCTCACCTCCCAAACAGAAAGGTTATAATAAGCTTAGGTATAATGAGGTAGAGACCTATCACCTCCCAGTTCCATTCAGGAGCAGCATTTGAGAAATCCTTTGATAATCGATGAGGAAGTAGGCAAGATTTCCAGAGACCTGAACACGGGCAGAACGCTGCTCAAGAAATGAATAGGGCCAGGTGGTGGCAGCACACACCTTTAATCCCATCACTCAGGAGGCAGAGGCAGGCGGATTTCTGTGTTTGAGGCCAGCCTGGTCTACAGAGTGAGTTCCAGTATGGCCAGAGGTACACAGAGAAACCCTGCTTTGAAAAACATCAACGAAAGAAGTGAAGTGGAAGGGAATGAAGACATGGTTTAGTGGTTAAGAATGCATAATCCTGCTGTAGCGTGCCAGGGGTCAGTTCCTGGAACCCACATAAGGTGGTTCACAACCTCCTGTAACTCCAGTTCCCTGTGTCCTAATGCCATCTTCTGGCCTCTGTGGGAATCCACACACATGTGACATACATCCACACAGACATATGCACATAATAAAAATAATATATAAAGAAGAATCTAACAGGGACCACATCTATAATACCAGCACTTGGGAGGCTTTTGTGGACATGAAGTCAGTCTGTGCTATGGAGTGAGACCCTGCCTCAAGAAACAAAGGTGAACAATAACAAGAAAGCCAAACACAAAAGAAACCATGGGAAAGAATTTGTTTCTCTGGTGAGTGGTGGAAGATAACCCAGCAAGACAAAGTGACAGTAGGCCATGATGGAAGTCATAGTCTCTGTCACACAACTTTGTGGAAGCCCTGTTTCCAGTGTTTTTAGTTAGTCTACACTGATATTCAATAGAACTTTACCATGATATGGACAGACAGCTACACCTAACATGAAGTTACTCAGCTTTCACACATACCTAACGAAGATGAGCAGAGTTTTTTGTTTTATTTAACTGTAATATGTTTAATTAGCTGTAAGTTGTTATAGCCATCACTTTGGACACATGGCTGTAGACCCACAGACCTCACTTCTGATGTCACTTGGCTGCTTATACAATCCAGAGGTGGGACAAGTGGGTGTCTATGAAAGATGATGCCAAGCAAAAGAGAGAAAGCAAGGAATGAGAGGAACAGGACTCATGGATGACTTCAGCAAAGTGTTTCAGAAGAGAAATCAAGGCACTTCATTAAACAAAATGACGTCTGTCTGTTTGGTGAAGACATCCCCTTTCATCAGGCTTTATTCATGTCAGAACAGGGCTTAGTGAGCTGAAGCTTCTCATTTTCTGCACAGTCAGAGACAGCATGCTAATGCCAACAAATGATCAGGGAGAATTATCCTGAGATACCCTTAGAAAGTTAACCCATTTTCTGACTTCTGCCTGTTTTTCTCTGCCAGAATCATTATCTGCAACTAAAGGATGAAACTTAGCAATGTTTTAGCTGAGTCTGAGGCAAAGCCATCCACTTAATGAGATTGTTACAAGCTGTAAATCCTGGTTGCTTCATACCTGAAAGGGCGGGAAATAAATAAGCCATCTCTCAATGTGGCTGGCATACCACCCCGGGACCAAGCACCTCTTCTGCAGGGTTCGAAGTTCCCAGGGTGCATGGGGCCCAGCAGAGATCACTTCATAGAAGCTGAACTTCAGAGCTGCAGGGTCTTCATGGGATCGCTGATGCTACGATGAGAAGGTGGATAATTAAATTAACTTGAAATATAGGCGTAAATAATTAAAACCCAATTTTTTGGAAAGTCTCAAACCTAAAGCAAGGGCTGCCACACTACTGGACAGTTGTTTTGAAATTAATGAAAGATGAAACTGCTTGGAGCATCAAAGTTTAAAGTTAAGATATTGGTGAGATGTGGTGATATTCTGTTTTTGCTCTAACAAAGCTTGCCTGGAGATCAGAGGGCAGAGCTAGCCACTAGTTAACCATAGAGGCCAGGCAGTGGTGGCACACACCTTTAATTTCAGCACTTTGGAGGAAGAAACAGGAAGTGATATGGCTGGGCGGAGAGAGGAAGTGATAAGGCAAGGTGGAAACAGGAGCTCAGCCCTTTCAGTCTGAGGATTTGGTAGAGGTAAGAAGTCTTTCTTGTGGCTGGCTGCTCTGCTTCTCTGATCTTTCAGCTTTCACCCTGATATCTGATTCTGGGTTTTTATTATTAAGATCGATTAGAATTTGCGCTACAGTGAGATTGTACTGTTTAGAAATGTAGGTAGGAGAGGCTGAATTACTGTTGATAGGGCTTCTTAACCAATGTTACCAGTTTTCCCTCAGTTTATACATTTTATTCTGAAAGTAAACTTTTAAAACCTGCATTCTTGTTCTTTGCCAGCCCATAATCTAACCAAAGATCATGCTCACTAGATATCTCTAATATAAAAGCACCCTGCTAATCCGACCCTTAAGATAGATTTTGATTAGAAAGCTCTTACTGGCCACTTTAAATGGAGAGACTAATACAAACTCTGGCATGCACATGATGTGAGAGCTACAGACTCTGCCATACATTACCCAGCATCTAAAAGCCAAGGTTCTTTCATCTAATGGCAACCTTTGTGGTGAACCAGAATAAGAAAATGTAGACAGCAGCAACTGAAATATGAAAATGTTTCCTAATGGCTCCGTCTCAGGTCCATGGGCTCAAGACAATCATGTTTTCCTTAAAGCGATCAATAAGCACTCAGTCTGTGGCTGTTCACCACATCTAGTTGGAGAGTGAATCTGCTGCCACTGGAATCCTGGTTACTGCACTGCAGCCTCTGCCAGCCTCTGTCCGTCCACCATGGAGTGATGTATTTGCAATATTTATGAAGTTTTGTTAGTTCAAAGTCTTGGAGCCTTTGTGTGTGTGTGTGTGTGTGTGTGTGTGTGTGTGTGTGTGTGTGTGTGTGTGTGTGTATACCCAATTTTCAGGGCCTAAGTGGTTCAGTTGCCAAGCTCCAATTATCTGCTTTTCTTTTGAGCCAATCAAGGTGCATTTCTTCCTTTTCCCCAGATACTTTTTGGAAAAAGTAGATGGCAGAAAATAAAATCTGTCAACTTGTAATTTTATGTATATTTTGGCTTGAGAGATGTCTCTGGGTCTGTCATAAACAATTGATGTGAGGATCTGGATTTCTGTGATCTTCTCTCTCCAGGATGGCTCCATGCCCTCTTGTGTAGATGATCTTTACAGTTGCCTCCCTAAGGTCTATCCCTTCCTGTGACCCTGCTCCCAGTCCCTGTCACTGAGCCATCTCACAACATGTCCTTCTACTTGTGAACCTGGAGTAACTGTTTTTGCTAAACAGAAAAGGATTTGTCGCTTTGGAACACTTTATTCTCTAATAGCATAACTGTCGAGAAGTTAGCTATTGGGGACTGTAGAGATGGCTCAGTGGTCAAGAGCAAGCACTCTTGAGTGGCACAGGACCCAAGTTCAATCCTTAGCACCCATGCCAGCCAACTCACAGCCACTTGTAAGCCTAGCTCCAGGGGATCCAATACCCTCTTTTGGCCTCTTTGGGCACCTGTACTCACATGCACATACATACCTATACACTGACACACGTACATATAGTTTAAAATAAATCTTAAAAACGAAAGAAGTTAGGTGTCTGAAATCACAGCAACAACAGTATAACACCAACTCATGTTGGAGGCTCTGAACTGCGTGGGCCACTTAGAACACAGGGGATGAACCTTATGTCTAACCCACCTGCAGAATCTCAGATACAAGTTTTTGTAAACATGACTTTCTACATTTATCTTAACATTGCAGTTTCCAGGGAAATAGAACATTGGCCTCTGTTTCTGCCCTGCCCTGTTGATGCCCCCTTTACACATAGCTCCATGTGTACTGTTAAAGCACTCCAGTTGAATTTTTACCTATTTTACTCTTACAAATCCTTCCTTAAAGACTGCCCAATGGTTCTTTCAATGCTCCAACTCTACTAATAAATCTAACTTGGTTTTAAGTTAGGCTTTATCACCGAATGAGTCTGTACACTATTTACATTTTTCTAGTTTTTATGCTTATTTACACATGTTATTTCTCCACCATACCAAAAGCGGTATTAACACTTATTAACTCAAATCACTTTTCAAACAATACTTGGCAAAGATTACAATTCTTTGATGAGTAGAGGAATATATGAGCATTAAGAACGTACTTAAAAATGATCACCTAGCCATGGTAGTGCACACCTGTCATCCCAGTACTTGGGAGGTGAAGACAGAGAGATCAAGAGTTAAGTCATCCTCTGCCAAAAAGCAAATTCCAGGCCAGTTGGGATACACAGGTCCCTGTCTCAAAAAAACCAAACCAAACCAAATTACAGAACTGAGAAGGTTAACTAAAGACTCGTAGTGATTAAACACATCAATTTTGTTGTGTGTGTATGCTTAAACTTTGTCTGCTTTTTATCAGGTGATTAAAATATCACTGGGCATTGTAAAGACTCACTGAGAGTGCATTAAATTATCTCAAAGTAAGTGATTCTTTGCTAAGTTCTAACGAACATTAGAGACAAAATGACAATAAGCACCATGAAGATGGCATGGAGCTGTTTAGACAGGCTGGGCTTTGAGGGGTGCAGGATTCTGCATATGCTTTGCCACCCTATCCCTTTTTCAGTAGAAGCAGTCACTTGAGAGACTTTGGGGCTGGGGTCAGCAGTCTCAGTGAACATGGCCATGTTCACCCCTTTGCACATCCTCTATTGCTGCTTTTGAAACATAATGTAGAGTTGTCAAAGAACCCTTATAACCTATAAAACCTGGATAAAAATTAGCTAGTGCTTTGTACTTTATGCATGTGTTTGAAGAAAAATTATTTTAAATTGTTACAATTACTTTAAAATGCAAATTTATAAACATACACATGTATATACAAAAACATGTAATATTTTATTACATTTTTTCAATTGCAATTCATGACGCTAATACTTTTCTTAAGTAAAGTTATCAAATTAAAGAAAATTTAAAAAATCCCTGATCGTGTTTGTTTCTTCTGGGAAACCAAGAATCTACTTGCTGCAGGCATCAGTGAACTAGTAGGTCTTCTTGTCTATTCAAATCTGAGATGTTGGGACTGGGGAGACAATTCAGCTGGCAGATGGCTTGCTTTGTAACTGTCAGGACCTACCTGAGTTTCATCCTCAGAACTCATATACAAAGCCGGATGTGGTGGTATATGCTTATAATCTCAGTGCTTGGGAGCCAGAGGCTGGCAGATCCCTGACGCTCAGTGGACAGTCTGTAGGGCTTAACCAGTGAGTCTCAGTGCTCATCAAGAGACCCTGTCTCACAAACCTCCAGAGAAATAACATCCGTGGCTGACCTTTGCCACACACTCACACACACACACAAACACACACACACACACACACACACACACACACACACACACACACACACA